CATACATACATACATACATACATACATACATACATACATACATACATACATACATACATACATACATTTGAGAAGCTAAAAAAGCAAATTCTACACACTTAAGAAACCAATCGAACCTAAGCGATTACGCAATTTCAATCATGCTGTCCTCATGACTCATTACTCCTTGATTGCACCGGATTGATGTCAAGCAAGTTAAGCATTACTCCGAGTTATGACCGGTTTTTCGGAACCTGATATACACATGCATTCATGTTCATGTACCCTGATTTGCATGATTAATAACTGAGCAAAATATTATATGTCTATCTGTCTATCTATTTATATTTCCATTTTTCACTGCAAGTATGGTTAGTAAGTAGTGTTTACGTGAAAATTTTATAAGAATAGGTATGAAGTAAAGCAAGGTTGCGCAGAATCCCTTAATAGATTGATGTGGGATACCTTTAGTTTCGTTTAAAGAGGCTAGAGGCAATCTGAACAAGGTTTATGGCTCCAACAATTAGAATTGGCCAAACACATCAGTAAGTGGAATATTATGTAATCCAAAAAAGATTAAGCACACAAAACACTACGAATAAGAATAGGAAGTTAAGCGAAAACTATTTTTCTTTTCAGAAGTCTATTTTCTCGCCAACTAGTGCATCTGACACAAGAGCTGTATTCACCTTATTTCGTTTAGGGTAGTTGAATTTTTCCGAAGTCTGATGAGTAGGCCTTATGTTTTTTTTAATTTTCAGAAATTTTTGCTTCTCAAAAGCTATTCTCATCTCAAATAGAATGTATTCCAGTTTCGAACTCGTGTGAACTCAGCAACCGAACGGGACTCGAACTCGAGTTGCGGTAATGCATCCTTCAGCCTCGAAAACCTACTAATAAACTTGAAATTAATAATTTTCGTTTGTAGGTAGGCTTTTGAGGCTACCAGTAAATTAGATATCTAAGATTTGTTCACTCAATTTTATTTAATTAAGTTATATAGTCGATTGCTATAGCAAGTACAGCATTTCTTGGTTGAAAATCTCACCACAGAAATGTGATATTTCAACGTACTAGAGCCCCTTGAAATTCACCTCCAACGGGTGAACCTGATCGCTCGTGGCAGTCTCGTGGAGGGATCGACGTGTACGACCAAAAGCCGGGTTCGAGTCCCGCTGAAGCTTGTAATGCGACCAGTTTGGGTGAGGCCAAAACTACAGTCCACCATGGCCGAAATAAGAATACATTTTGGTGAACAAGACTTACTGTGAAATTTACGGTAAACATGAGGCCTGTTGAACAGGTTTTGGAAATATTCACCTTCCAGTCCTTCGTCATTTTAAATGAAATAGGATGAGTGCAGCTCTGAGATCCGATTTGCTGGCAATCTCGAAAGGTTAATGATAAGCTGAACAAAGTTAGGCTTTAGAAATAGGAAAGATTGTCGGCGGCCATCTTTTTCGTTCTCGTGTTTCGGTGAATTATCCTAAAACATATTGTCCGGCGCTGTCGAGGTCGGTCACATGACGGACGCAAGCTCCGCAAGCCAAGAACTTATTCGTGCAAATCTACAATCTCAGCTCCGAGGCAAATCACTTACGGCTTCAGATGAGGCCAACCTACGAAGTCCTTCCACAATCTTCTCCTTAAACCAAGTCAGAACTATGCCAACATTTTTGGCAAGAATGTCTATCAAGCAGCTTAGTCTGTTGTCATCCAAAACGGGAAAGAATGTCGCATGGATTGCGTCAAGGTGAATTTCAAAGTCAAGCAAACGACTGCAGAACATCAAAGGTCAGCCATCGTCTTCTTTAGGCACATCTTCTCTAAAAGTAAACCAACAATAAAAGGTTGTGGCATGACTTTTCATTTCGAAGCAATCTTTGCTTGGAAGGAAGTCGTCCTGCTGCCTTTCGATGAGCGTGTGCTAAGCTTTCGTCTGCACTGCGACAGAAATCATCAGAGCAAGTATCCACATTTTACGAAATAGAGCAAAAATACACTTTGTCTTCTCTGCATTTAGCATACTCTTGCGCAATTTTGTAAAATATATTTGCCTGATCTGATGACGTCTATCACGGTGGTACAGACGAAAACTTAGCACCGCTCCATCGGGAGGTAGCCAATCCGACAGACTTCAATTCACTTTCACTTTTGCGTCAGAATCGAAATGCATGTCACAATTAATCGCTTAAAAATTCTTAAAAATTCTGTCTTTTATGCAACAATGAAAGGATCAAGCCAAAGGGGCGTCTTGCCCCAGAGATATAGACAGTTGCCAGGGGAAAATTGCAATCAAATCTGTGGGTGGTTTCAATCGACTGTGTGGTACTTGTCGGTGCCATCAAAACGGCCTGATAACCCGACAAGCATGCCTTATTGTGTTCATGCATTGAAGAAAAAGATGAGGGTCCTGGTCGTCTTCAAGAGAGCCAGTTAATGTTGTCTCCGCCTGTCTGCGTAGAAGGATCGTGTTGACTTGGCGTTACTGCAGATCGTTCGGATGGTTATCGGCTATCTTGGCCCTTTGGCCATCAATTTAAAGCCGGACTGCGGCCTCGAACTGACACCCTCGGGCGGAGTCGAACTTGGTCTCCTCCGTCCCCGGACCTGTTGGTGGGGAGGTGGGACACTGGAGGTGGAAATGAGTTTTAGGGTCTGTTGTGGCCCGAGGGTCATGCCGTGTCCTGAGCTCGTTTCGTAGACTGTCTGCGGTTGCCATGGCTGCAAACGCTGCATGGGTTAGAGTCCGGCCGTGGAGGCCTGTGGGTCGTTGGCCTGAACAAGACCACATCTTAAAGGATGTAAACTGCAAGCGTTAACATGCCTTGCCTGAAATTCATTTTAAATATGATCTGTATCTTCTGGTAACTTGGACAACTTTGAAAAGCTGTATTCACTTAAGATAGACAGACCAACTACAAAAAAGTGTGAAATGGAAGATGTACAGGCTGAGTTGCAATTCGAGTCGGCCTCGTGACCCACTGGCTTTCGTGGTTTAGAGGTACTAGTTTGGAACTGATCACTGCACCATCACAGCCCGAATTCTATTCTTGCTAGACCTGCTGATGAGACAGGTCCCGGTGAGGTCAGTCTAGTCGAGATGAGAATAACATTTAGAAGACAAGAAAAAGTGAAATTCAATGATCTCGTGAGATATATTTATCAGATTGTGGGGAAAATTCAATTCAGCAACTTATGTGAGCATGTCTGACGGGAAATCTTATTCAAAACATTCTGGCATTTACTTGTAAGAGTGTGAGTAAAGTCATTCTTAGCACTACGACAAAGTTAAAGAAGGGAACTGAAAGAGAAGGTAAAGGAAAAGAAGATGGATAAGAAGTATAGTAGAATAGGGATAGAATTTTTCCTGCAACTCGAGGAGTATACCTCACGATGCTATTCTGCTTGGCTTTGCTTTCCAAAAGGTACTCTCACCCCGACCGGATTGGACTGCAGATTAGACCTCGTCTGAACTGGTCTTATCAGCATGAAATCTGAGATGTGATGGTACAGTGGCTATTTCCGACATGGTATCACAACACCATCAGCACCATTTGGTGACAGGACGACACAAATTTCAAAGCAGCATAGGCCTCTCCCAAGTCTCGTTTTTTGCATCGGGCCTGACGATAAAACAGACTTTTATTTGCCATTAAAATTGATTGCATTACTTATATCCAGAGTAAGTAGTTGCCCAAAATACCAGCAGCAATATCAAAACAGCAGTTCATTCAGTCAAAATCTACTTATTCGAAAAGTAGAAATCGTATATTTTACAGGATATGAAGACCAAGATGGTGTGGCCTTTTGTGTGGTCGCAGTCCCTTTTCGTTGTATTGAGGTTGTTTGACCTTGTTTTCACACAGATTTGCTCAAGGAATCGGCTTCACTCGTCTCTTTGACGAGTTGTTGTGTGGTACTAAGAACAGCGATACTCACCGACGATGCCAGCGAAACGTTTGCGAATGTACCATGTCCACGATCCGACTCTGTAAATGATCATGTAGACAATAGAGTCCGGATCAGGTGCGTTTCTGTAAGTCTTCCTGCCAATATGACCAAGTTGCGAAAACAAGGTCAAATAATTTCTTATATTTTACAGTTTAAAAATAGTAAACTCTTCAGATTTTTTCGTTCACATAAATTGGTTATATGAATAGGCATGAAAGTAGAAGCTGTTATGAATAAAAACTATGATATAATACGGTTAATTTTAATCACTGACGTCCACTACATTCCATATATATTTTATTCCTCAAACAACTGCTGTACGGTGGGAACAGAGAGTAGTAGTTGCATCTCAGTAGATTCGTCTCATTTCCGGCACACACGAAATCGGCGAAAGGGAACAGTGGATGATTAGATAAAGGATCCAAAGCTCTGAGTTCATAAAAGTCGACTTTTCTGAAAATAACAAAATTCAATATTATTATCTAACATTATACTGCTGCCAAAAGGCAGTAGTGCAATACAAAATAGAGAATTTTTATTAACAGTTCAACTTTCCGCTACTAGCCAACATAAACCAAAGCCGATCTTACTAGTGGACTTGGTGTTGTAAGAAAGAAGCTTATTCAAAGCATACTACCGTTAACAGAAATTTTTCTCAAAGCCTACTACCCAGTCTTTCTTAATCGTCATAAGGTTAGAGGAAATCATTTCAAAAGCACTTGACCTACCTTTTAACATCGTTTTGCAAGTCGCTTTAAGAAGATGCCACATAAAAGAATATTTTAACGCCTTACTTTAATTTTCTAAATGGAATTTGTTCCTTATCTTCGCAACATAATATAATAAAAC